TCTAGATACTTGGTAACTATGTGTTTTATCGTAATATTTACACGTGGTTATCCAGTTTTCCCAGGTTCCCATTCCAAGGTATTATAATATTCCCAATATACTCAAGATTGTCACAATCATCAATGCATCACTCACAGGGAGAAGCAATAGTTATAAATAGCATCCCTAACATCAAACATAGGAGGTTATATATTGAATACATTCGACGAAATCCCATCTAGTGGTGATCCGTGTTCTATTTTGCATTCTCAACACACTATCCCAGTCCACAGGTAGTCAGCAAAGATGCTGTAACTTGTGTTAGCGAATAAGCAGGAAAAGTCTTTGCTTCACTAATTTTAATTCTTTACTTCTTTTGTTTTCTTCTGAGAATATCTGATATCCTTATCTGCGTGTTTCCATCTTTCTTTACTTATTTCTCCGCTTCCCATTTTCTTCTTTTGGGTTTCAACTTTCTTTATACGTATCTTATTGAGCTTTTGCTGTCGTGCAAAATTTTCATGCATTTACAAGATTTTAGATGTTGAGTTTTTCATTCAATTGTTGTTCGTGCTTATTTTTGCATATATTGCATTCCAAATATGTTGTAATATTTTCATATTATTTTCATTGTTTTCCGTCAATTTTTATTATGGGTTGCGTCAGTCTTACTGTGTTGTATCACATCGCGAAATTCAGCAATCTCAGCATTTCCTAGTACAACGAGCAATGAAGGCATGTTATACTCCAAATAAACCCCGTAATTGGAAACCCTACGTTTACCATTTCATGTTTCTAGTACGCGCTAGAGCGTACATAGTTAAGTCGTGAAATATGGAGTAGTACTTCTCAGTTATTACTCGTCGAAACAAAGGCATAGTTTATTTAATGCACTTTGTATTGCGATCTCGTCCGATTCTCAAGCACCCGCCATCCATCTTTATTCATCTTCATCCCGCGATTATCTCAAAAACTATCCACAATAAACATATTCTCGTCCGACTTTCTCAAGCACCCGCCATCTCTTATCTTTAATTCATCTTATCCCGCGAGCCTCTCTTACACACACAGACGTGTCCAAAATTCCCACTGCTTGTCATTTCAAGGCAAACCATGTCTTCGCTCCTTCTCTATATCGCTGATCTTTTTCATAAAAAATGACGTACGCACGTTATGAGGACATTCAAAGTTTGAAAAGTAATTTTCGTACTCTAACACATTGTCAATCTTAGCTATAATCAAAAAGGCAATATCTTCTAACTATTTCTGCTACAGGCGGTCTGAAATTGCCTCAAACGCCAGAACATTCCCTTTGCTTTAAATCTCGCACATGACCTTAGATAAACGTCATGCCTGGGCGTTATCACAAATGCCGGTTGAACATGCAGTTTCCACAGCACATGAGTTTTTTCCGCCCCGACAAACTTGACGTTTTGTGCGTGTATTTTGCCATTTTACTGAACAAACGAACTTTTCATACTAGAAAAATAGCGTTTTCAATACAATATTAGCCATAAAATTTCGAGATGATCAGGGACTTGGTTCCTCACAAAGCCTCCGTTGTCGCGGTCCACACAATGGAAATTTCGTCGATCCATTGATCGCGAAACATTACATTTTGTAACACAAGAAAGAAACCTACATTTCCTCCAACACTAACTATCTCGCACCACACGACACATTCTACAGCATCACACGACGTGTTTCACAAATGCTTCATCTCTCGTGTTCAGGAACATCGCTGCTTTTGTTTTCCGGATTTTCAATAAAAAACTGAGAACCCCTGTCAGCTCGAGCCAGTAAATTCGAAAGTATCTAATTTACGGTATCTAAACGAATTGTAAATATTAGATATATTCAACACAAGCTGTATCTTCTAACTATTCCACTGCTACAGCGCGAAATTTTGCACTCAATACCCGCTCGCCCGCCCACACAGAACACTACCTCCTCGCTTACAGCTCTGGAGTCTTAGATAATGTTGCTGGCGTTATCACCACGATGAGTTGAAACCACGTGCGTCTCGTGCTCCACGCAGCAGAGTTTTGGCGCTACAAATTCTACCGTACGTTCCTGTGGCGTGTATTTTTGCATTTACTGAAAAACGAAGCTTTTAATCGAAAAATAGGTTTCAATCTACTACTACCGCTTTCCGCTCCACTACGAACCATTTCGAAGATAGGACCTCTTCGTTTTCAGCACAACATCCGTGTCGGGTCCAAAATCGGCGCATACTTTCGCTCGACTCTATGGCATCGACGAAACTTTCACGCACTCTACTTCTCGTCACCACAACAAAGAAACCTACGTACTCTCAAAACCCTCATCCATCATGATAAACATACTTCTACAACCACCAAGACGTTGTTCCAAAACATCCATCTCGGTTTCAGCACACATCGCCTCCTTTTTTTCACGGGGTTATTTCAATAAAAAATGAGACCTTTAGCACGACTTGGAATTGAAAGTAATTTCGTACTCTAAACGCAATTCGGGTAAATATTAGCTATTTTCAACAAAGCAATACCTATTCTAAACTTTTCCTGCTACAGCGCTGACACATTTGCCCGTCACGCAGAACATTCCTTCGCTTTATCTGATTCTTAGTAAAGTTGCTGCGTTATCACAAATGGTTGGACCGCTCTTCCCGCTCCTAACCGCGTCCGCCCCTATATAATACCGCCCCACTTTGCCATCCACCCACTCCGACTCGCTCCGACGCCGCTCCAGAATCCTCGCTCCGCCCCGCCCTCTCCGGGCCCGCTCGCTCTGGCTTCTCTTCCGGCCAGCTCCGGCCCGCGCGCCCCCGCGACCCCGTCTGCCCGCCCGGCTCCGACTCGGCCGCTCCCCACCCTACAACTCCCCGCCTCGCCCCTCCCGCCCGCATGCTCGCCGGCCTGTCCGCCCCATTTTCCATTCCACGTTCTTCCACGCTCGCCTCAGGCCGGTCGCGTCACACATCGCGCCTCCGTTGCTCTCCGCCCCGCCATTCCACCCAACCACACGCCCCACTCCGCCGCCACGCTCTCTGCTCTCGCCAAGCTCTGAGATTGCCCATCCCGACATTCCACGCCCCGGCCACTCCGCGCTCCGCCATCCACTTCCTCACTCCGCCTCGCCCTGCCACAGCGCGCCCCAAGTCACCCCCCCATCCTCGACCCGACGCCGCCGCGTCACGCCACGCTCGCGCCCTCCGCTGCAACTCAGATGCGCCGACTGTTTTCATATGCTTTCCACTGCGGCGGCGGGGGCGCGTCGCGAGGG